GATGGGGCATCCTCTGCTACAGTCTCTTGGCTGCTGAACTGCTGGGCACTTGCATCACTGGAAAAAAAACATCTCCACATTCTCTATAGGAAAGCTAACATAATAATAAATGACATTATGAATGTAGTAGCGGTATATCATAATAGCACAGGCGACATTTTCTCATCCTGGTCTTACAGATCTAGAAGTTTTTTCTTAAGAGACAGTTATGGTAGAGTGCCAGTTGTGCCCTTTCAATCCCATAGGTCATAAATACAATGATAGCATCCTGTTTAAAAGACGTGTTCTGTTTCTGTGCCGGTATATTTCGCCCTGTTGGTGTCCTATTTTATTATATTTTTCCTGACTTGATTCATCCATTTGTGAACTATGCCTCATAAACACTTTGATCTTTATTCAGTTGTCATATATGTATTGGTCTCTATTCCTTCTATGCACTCTTCACCATAACCGTCACTATTTCTATTATTGCCTACATGACCTATTTGTTCTTTTTTTTTATCAATGTAATACTAAAAATACAAATAATGATAAAAAGAAATTTGAAAAAAATGTATATATAAATTTGTTTCAATTAGGGTTGCACAGATACCAAGTACAGTACTCGGTACAAGTACGAGTACATGTACCGATACTTTTGAGCTCCAAGACTACACTAGAGAAAAATTCAAAAAATAGGAGGCAGCTGTCACGCAGCTCCTGGGATTTGTACATCTCTGTTTTAATGTACGATTTTGTTTTTATAAATATATAATAAAGGGATGCACAGATACCAGTTTTGGGAGTACGAGCACTGGTACTTGCCGAGTACTTACAAGTACGAGTACTGATACATTTTTGTTTCTTGTTATGTGACAGTTTTTCTAAAACAATACAGACTAATGATTTCAGGACAGTGGTGGAGCGCCAGAGCCAGGTCCCAGCTGCAACCGCGGCAACCCTGGTAGTCCTCATGAAAATGCCAAGTATCTGCACTGGTACTCGAAAAGTATCTGTGCATCCCTAGTTTCAATTGTAGGCAGCACCCACCTCAGTCCATATATAGTGAACACAGAGAGCAGTTAACCCACCACTCTGATATAAAGTAAATCCACAAAATGTTATTCTACAGCACCTTGTGAAGTTTTTTGTAATAAAGCTGGACACAGATGACACAGATATACAGTGGCGTAACCAGAATAACGGGCAGCCGGGGCAGAACAAAACTTTGTGCCCCCCGGTGATATGTGGGGGTGTACAGGTATTTAATATGAAAAAGTTTATGTGAAAAAAATCAAACATTAAAAAAGTGAATAATCAGATTGCATCTTCCCATTAAAAACCTTTCACAAAGTTGTCCAAAACCATTCACACTTCCCTCCTACTTATGCTAAATAATGGAAAATCACTGTTTCTGGATCTATCACTGACTCTGTGTAGGTTATGGAGAGTTTAGAGGGTTAATGAGGACAGCAGAAAGTCTACGGACACCAATCTTAATCTTATTTACCCTAAAATGTAATTCCTTAGACAAATGGAAATTCCAGACTTAGCTGTACTGATCCCCTTCCTCCAGGTATAGTATAGTACAGGGCTCAACATTTCAAGTCCTGAGCTACTAGCCAGGCCTTAAGAGTTACTAGCCACCAGTTGCCCCACCTAACCCTTACCCTGCCCCGGCCTTAACTCCGCCCCTAAACACACCCTCTTAAAAGGAGAACTATGGGGTCAGGGCTTTCCCCCATAGTTCTCCTAAGGGTAACGGGAGGACACAAACTAGCGTCCTCCCGTCACCCAAAGCTCAGTATACCGCGAGCTACAGCTCGTGGTATACTTAGACGCTGCAGCCGGAACGGATCCCGACAATGATGTCTGTATCCACCCAGCTGCGTGAGTGACCAACCCCCCCCCCTCGTCCGTTCCGCCAGTCAGCGCTAGAGGATCGGACAGGGTAGGGGGGAATCCAGTCACTCCCCTGTCACGGCTCTCTGCAGTGACAGGATCGAGAAGTGAGCGAGCGCCGGTATGTGTTCGCTCACTTCCCGATCTACTGAGTCGACCTGTGACAGTTTTATTGTCACAGGTCGGCTTAACTATGAGGATGAGTGAAAATCACTCACCTCATAGTTCTCCTTTAAATAATTTTATGATAGTTGCCGCTTGTAAACGGCAGATTAGGGATTCCTGCTGCAGGAAAACGCAAGTTCCTGACACAAGAATCTCTAATCACACCTGAAATATACTGTAGGTGTGAATGGGGCCTAATATACACATACACTAAAGGTGCCCATACTCCTGCCGATTATCGTACAATAGTTGTGGGTGATCCCGCGATCGTACGATAATCGACAGGTGTATGGGCAGCGTGCGACCGCTTCTACTGTAAGGTCGTACGACTTTCGTCTTCCAAGCACGCTGTAAAACCTGCTGAAAATTGTAAGATTTTTGGCGGGTTGGTGGAGTGGTCGGAAGACGTTGGGGGTGATTAGTGAGGTCTGCAGCAGACCTCACTAATCACCCCCAGATAGCCAGGGATCGATCCTCCTCACATACATCCTTTCCTTCGGCTGGAGCTCAGAACTGTCAGAGCTCCGACACAGATGCAGACCGTGGAGCTGCTCCCGCAAGTCAGGTACGCGGTCTGTGACCGCGTGCCTGACATGTCAGCTGGCGGAGATGGAGATGGCCCGCGGACCGGTACTTGGAGACCCAAATTTCCACTCGCCCTCACTTTATTTTTACTCGCCAAATGCGAGCACGCGAGTGGAAGTTTTGAGCCCTGGTATAGTACATCCAAAAGTCTTCAGCGATATCCACCAGAGGTGGTCTCCTCAGAGTGCGAGTAATGACACTCTGAGGAGACTGGTGGATATCGCTGAAGACTTTTGAACGTACTATACTCTACTCAACAAAGTGAGGCGGCCAGGTTGCATTCCAGTGCGTTCCAGAGGCTGAATGCACTGGAACTTACTCTTGATGGTGTGACAGGGCCCTCACCCTCTAAACCCTCCATGACCTCCACAGAGTCAGTGATAGATCCAGCAACAGTGATTTTACATTATTTAGCAAGTGTGCGGGCTGTCTGTATGAGTGGGAGTGTGAATGGTTGTGGACAACGTTGTCAAAGGTTTTTATTGGGAAGATGGAATATGAAGTTTCACTTTTTTGACGTTTGATTTTTTCTATTAAACTTTTTCATATTAAAATCACTAAGGCCTCGTTCACACCGGATGCAGTGCGTTCCAGCCTGATTCTGTCCAGAACGCACTGCCTCGTATTGCGGCCGGCTCACTTTTTTTGTGGGGCAGGAGGGGGTGTGGTGGGCCATTGAAATGAATGGCACCGTAGCCACGCCCTATGGCCGCAATGTGATCGGCCGCAAAGGATTGTAGTCTGGTCCGGTGCGATCAAAATGCTGCAAGTACTATTTTGATCGCACCGGACCAGACTACAATCCTTTGCGGCCGATCACATTGCGGCCATAGGGCGTGGCTACGGTGCCATTCATTTCAATGGCCCACCACACCCCCTCCTGCCCCACAAAAAAAGTGAGCCGGCCGCAATGCGAGGCAGTGCGTTCTGGACAGAATCAGGCTGGAACGCACTGCATCTGGTGTGACTGAGCCCTAAAGCCGTTTGGTCCCGGTCCTCTTTAGTTCAAACCTGCTGAACTAAATGGTGTTTTTGTAATAGAACACAGAATAGTTGAAACTTTCAAGTTCAGCTATCTATTATGTGTTCTGGAATGGCGAGTAGTCTCCTCAACCATCTGACACTGTCCTCCTTGCTGGTGTTAGTTTACACGGCCGGAGGAAGCAGCACGGGGGAGACCGAGAAAAAAAACCCATTAAATCACTCACCTTGTCACAGACGTGCGGGTCCCGGTCTCTCTCTGCAATGTGAAGCTGCTGCACGCTGGGTCCTCATGCCTGAGGCCCCCAGGG